GCAGCTTATCAGTCCTTAGATGTGATGGTTGCATTAGTTTTCTTTTTTTTTTCAGGCATATTTTCATCTGGTGATCCTGCTGGTAACACCTGGGCATAGATTTGCACACAAAATCTGCTGCAACTGTGCACAGTAATCAATCAGCTTCTAACTTCAGTTTGTTCAGTTAAAGTGGAACTTTACCCATAACGACTGTGGCATAAAACCAGATCCCTGCAGGACTTCACCCTATATAGATCTTCCCTCCTAAAATATCATTCATAGTTTCGTTTGGCTGAAAAAAGACAAAAGTCCATCCAGTTCAACCATAAAAAAAAGTTATAATCCTACATCCACAGTTGATCCAGAGGAAGGCGAAAAACCCAGCAAAGCATGATCTAATTTGCTCCTGCAGGGGAAAAAACTCCTTCCTGATCCCCAGAGAGGCAATCAGACATCCCCTGGATCAACTTTACCTATAAATGTTAGTACCCAGTTATGTTCTGTGTATCCAAGAAGGAATCCAGGCCTTTTTTAAAGCAATCCACTGAGCTGGCCAGAACCAACTCTAGAGGGCGTCTATTCAACATTTCACAGCTCTTACTGTGAAGAAACCTTTCCGTGTTTGGAGATTAAATTTCTTTTCCTTCAGACATAAAGAGTTCCCCCTTGTCCTCTGTGATGACCTCAGGGTGAATAACTCTACACCTTCACTATATGAACCACTGATGTATTTATACATGTTGATCATATACCCCCTTAATCTCATTTGCTCAATAGAGAATAAATTCAGTTCCTCTAATCTTTCCTCATAGCTGATCTCCTCCATGCCTCTTATCAGTTTGGTTGCCCTTCTCTGCACTTTCTCCAGTTCCCCAATGTTCTTTTTGTGAATTGGTGCTCAAAACTGAACTGCATATTCCAGATGAGGTGTTACTAATGATTTGTACCGGGGTAATATGATATCTCTCTCTCTGGAGTCTATACCTCTTATAATACAAGAGAGGATTTTGCTCGCTTTAGAAATTGCAGCTTGGCATTGCATGCCATTATTAAGCTTGTGATCTACCAGAACTCCCAGATCCTTCTCCACCATTGATTCCCCCAGTTGTACCCCCCCTAGTATGTATGATGGAATGCATTTTCTTAGCCCCCAAGTGCAGAAACTTACATTTATCAACATTCCTCCCTCCATGCTCCCAAACAAACTTATTTTGTCTCTCTTATTAATACCTTGTCATCCAGTCCTCGCCGGCTCTTTGCTACCTTTAAGTCTCTGCTTTGTCTCCTACCCCCTTTACCCACTAACTCAGTCACTGCCCAAGAGATTGCCAATCACTTCAAAGACAAGATTGATGCAATACGTGAGGACACATCCACTATACAGATATCTTCCCCACTTAACTTACCTTGTCCAACTGTTCTCAGATGCCCACCTAACCAATTGTCCCCTGGATCCTGTTCCCTCACAACTAGTATGGTCACCCTCTTCTTCTATCGTACGCTCTCTCACTCACATCTTCAATCTCTCCCTCTCTATTGGCACCTTCCCCTCCACCCTAAAGCATACACAGATCTCTCCCATACTTAAAAAGCTCTCACTGGACCCCGCCAACCTGAACAACTTAAGACCAATATCCTGGCTCCCATTCACCTATAAACTTCTAGAACACTTAGTCTACAACCTTCTTATCTCCTACCTCACTAAAAACAACCTTCTCAACCCCTTACAGTCTGGCTCTCGCTCACAGCACTCCACAGAAACTGTCCTATGAAAACTTTACTAACTGCTAAAACCAATGGCCACTACTCCAAACACTTACCACTAGACCTCTCTGCGGCCTTTGATAATGTTGACCTCCTGCTCCTTCTCAATAAACTCCACTGCCTTGGTCTCCAAGATTCAGTTCTATCCAGGGTCTTCTCCTACCTGTCGCAGCGCTCCTTCAGTGTTACCTATAACTCTGTCTCCTCCTCTCCACTCCCTCTTTCTGTAGGGGTCCCTCAAGACTCTGTTCTTGGACCCCTTCTCTTCTCTATCTACACCTCCTCTCTTGGTCACCTCCCATGGCCTCAAATGCAATCTCTATGCTGATGACACCCAAATCTAACTCTCTACTCCTCACCTCACTCCTTCTGTCTCCTCTCGCATTACTAACTTACTAACTGACATATCAGCATGGATGTTGCACAACTTATTTAAACTAAATCTTTCTAAAACTAAGCTGATAATATTCTCTCTGTATGCACTCATACATGACTTTTCCATCAAGATCAATAATACAACTGTCAGTACTTATCCTCAAGCCAGGGTACTAGGTGTATTCCTAGACTCTGTCCTATCCTTCAGGCCCCAAATCCAATCGCTGTCAAAATCATATAGACTTCATCTTCACAACATAACTAAAATTCGCACCTTTTTAAACAATGAAACTGGCAAGCTACTCGTTCCCTCCCTTGTTATTTCTCGCCTTGACTATTGCAACTCCCTTCTCATAAGCCTACCACTCTATAGGATATCCACTCTTCATGAATGCTGCTGCCAGGATTATCTACCTTACCATCTGCTCAGTGTCTTCCACCCCTCTCTGCCAATCCAATCCAGTTGTCAGGGCTCCAGGGTATGACCAGAGGTATGTGAACTGACGCAGGGAAACGCAGGCTTCAGATAAGTTATAAACAATATAATTTATTAAAGACTAACAATACAAACATAAACGCAGTGCAATACTAAAACATAACAGTGCAAACGAACCAAACCAAACCACCCACAGATAACAGTACATACAATATAAGCATCGTCAGGCAGGCCGGGTCAATAACAATCGGGCAGGTAGGTACAGGGGGTCAGGCAGAGAATGGTCGGGGTCACAAGCCAGGGATAAAACAGGAGAAGTCAGCAGAGTTCCGGATCAGGCAGGGTCAGCAATGAATCAGACAGAGACAGGGACAGGGATACAGGAACAAGATACAGGGCCCACGAAAACCACACACCAAGGCAGAGACTGCAGGTCTGGCCATCCCTTAAATACACCTGCATAATCAACTTCAGGTGTTTGGCTGGCTGCAGGTTTGAGTCTCTGATTGCTGGGAGCACCCGCTGGCCAGCCCTGGTACTGCAGCCCACAAGGCAGGTGAGTCCCACCATTACTGGCAAGTCCATTCCTGACAGTACCCCCCCCTAAAGGAGCAGCCTCAGGACGCTCCAAACAGTCCTAGCTGGGCAAAATGTTCCACCGCCCGGGTCTGGTAACTGGCGGGATATCAAAGACTGGCACATCGGGCAGGACTCCGGGCAGCGGCACTACGGGCAGGACTCCGGGCAGCGGCACACCGGGCAGAGGCACATCGGGCAGAGGCACATCGGGCTGGACTCCGGGCAGAGGCACATCGGGCTGGACTCCGGGCAGAGGCACATCGGGCTGGACTCCGGGCAGAGGCACATCGGGCTGAACTCCGGGCAGAGGCACATCGGGCTGGACTCCGGGCAGAGGCACATCGGGCTGGATTCGGGCAGAGGCACATCGGGCAGGACTCCGGGCAGAGGCACATCGAGCAGGACTCCGGGCAGAGGCACATCGGGCAGGACTCCGGGCAGAGGCACATCGGGCAGGACTCCGGGCAGAGGCACATCGGGCAGGACTCTGGGCAGAGGCACATCGGGCAGGACTCCGGGCAGAGGCACATCGGGCAGGACTCGGGGCAGCGGCACATCGGGCAGGACTCCGGGCAGGACTCGGGACAGCGGCACATCGGGCAGGACTCCGGGCAGAACTCCGGGCAGAGGCACATCGAGCTGGACTCCGGGCAGAGGCACATCGAGCTGGACTCCGGGCAGAGGCACATCGAGCTGGACACCGGATCACCAGGCGGAGCAGCAGGCACCGGGCCACCAGGCGGAGCAGCAGCAGGCACCGGGCCACCAGGAGGGGCGAAAGGCATCGGGCCCCCAGGAGGGGCAACAGGCATCGGGCCCCCAGGAGGGGCGACAGGCATCGGGCCCCCAGGCGGGGCGGCGGGCGCCGGGTCCCCAGGCGGAGCGGCGGGCCCCCAGGAGGGGCGACGGGCTTCGGGCCCCCAGGAGGGGACAGGCATCGGGCCGGGCCCCCAGGCGGGGCGGCGGGCGCCAGGCCCCCAGGCGGAGCGGCGGGCGCCGGGCCCCCAGGCGGAGCGGCGGGCGCCAGGCCCCCAGGCGGAGTGACAGGCATCGGGCCCCAGGCGGGCGACAAGCATCGGGCCCCCAGGTGGGGCGACAGGCATCGGCCCCCAGGCGGGGCGACAGGCATCGGGCTCCCAGAAGGGGCGGCAGGCACCGGGCACCCAGAAGGGGCAGCAGGCACCGGGCCCCCAGGAGGAGCGACGGGGGCCCGGGCCCCCAGGAGGAGAGCGGCGGGCGCCGGGCCCCCAGGCGGAGCGGCGGGCACCGGGCCCCCAGGTGGAGCGGCGGGCACCGGGTCATCAGGCACGACAACGGGCATCAGGTCACCAGGCATCAGGTCATTTGGCTCGCCAGCGGGCACCGTGTCATCTGGCAGGGCAGTGGGCACCGAGTCACCAGGCACGACAGTGGGTTCCGAGTCAACTGGCATGACCATGGGCACTGGGTCAGACATTGGATCGTCTGGCTCGACAGCGGGCATCGGGTCACCAGGCATCAGGTCATTTGGCTCAACAGCGGGCACCACGTCATCTGGCAAGGCAGTGGGCACCGAGTCACCAGGCACGACAGTGGGCTCTGAGTCAATTGGCACGACAGCGGGCACCGGGTCATCAGGTAACGGATCGTCTGGATCGACAGCGGGCACCGGGTCATCTGGCGTTGGATCGTCTGGCTCGACAGTGGGCATCGGGTCACCAGGCATGACAGCAGGCACTGGGTCACCAGGCATCAGGTCATTTGGCTCGCAAGCGGGCACCGCATCATCTGGCAAGGCAGTGGGCACCGAGTCACCAGGCATGACAGTGGGCTCCGAGTCAACTGGCATGACCGCGGGCACTGGGTCAGACATTGGATCGTCTGGCCCGACAGCGGGCATTGGGTGACCAGGCATGACAGCGGGCACTGGGTCATCAGGCATGGGATTGTCTGGCTCGACAGCGGGCATCGGGTCACCAGGTATGACAGCAGGCACTGGGTCACCAGGCATCAGGTCATTTGGCTCGCCAGTGGGCACACCGCGTCATCTGGCAAGGCAGTGGGCACTGAGTCACCAGGCACGACAGTGGGCTCCGAGTCAACTGGCATGACCGCGGGCACTGGGTCAGACATTGGATCGTCTGGCCCGACAGCGGGCATCGGGTCACCAGGCATGACAGCGGGCACTGGGTCATCAGGCATTGGATCGTCTGGCTCGTCAGCGGGCATCGGGTCACCAGGCATGACAGCGGGTACTGGGTCATCAGGTACCAGATCGTCTGGATCGACAGCGGGCATCGAGTCAACTGGCCTAATGGAATCATCAGGCTGGATCAGTTCATCAGGCTGGGTAGAAACATCATGCTGGGTAGAGGCATCAGGCTGGGTGGAGGCATCAGGCTGGGTGGAGGCATCAGGCTGAATTGTGGGCGCCGAGGCACCAGGCTGCACCACGGAAGGCAGGTTCTCAGATGGGAGGTTGACCGGTTTGGATACTGGCAGGATGGTATTTTCCTGGTTTTAGTTACAGGAGCGACGTAAGTAAGCGCAGGTTTGTAAACGGATGGAGCAGCTGGAGACAGAGAAGAGCTGGAGGATGGAACAGGGGAGGGAACAGTTGCTACAGAGGACTTCTTTACAGGGTTAAAGGCAGGATAGGTGCAGCGAGTGGGAACAGGGTACTGACATGCGGTAGATAGCAGGGTATACTGGGCTGTAACTGGAGGTGCTGTTGGGAATGCAGGAATAGAGCTTTGAAGAAATAGATTAGAAGCAGGACTGGGTTTTTGCAAGCTGACTGAGGCTGGGTGCAACAAGTCTGACCATGTCTGCAGTATGGGTTGAACAAAGCTCAGCTTACACAAAGCCTGTCTGACCAAAGACTGCACTGTGTTTATACAGTCTCTTAGTACCTGTTGTGAACATGCAGAATAACGCTCCAGAAAGTAATCCACATCATCCTCTAATAACCATACCAGGGACTCTACCTGGTCGGCACTAAATGGGGGCAAAAATTCATCCCTGCATTCAGGGGTACCAGATGAAACCAACTCAGCACAAACCTGAATCAATGGCTGCACCTCAGAGAACTCTGTGCCCTGATCTACTAGGCAATGAGCGATCCGTATACATTCTAGCAGTTCATCCCTGGGATACTCCTTCAGACTTTGATAAGCATACTCTCTGTCATCAAACACCAGCAGCGACAAATACACAACCTCATCAAGATCCATCCTTCCCAGCAACAAGCCAAGATGGCTTCCCTGTGCAGCCACTTCTGGTCAGGATTGGCCTTGGTGTAATGTCAGGGCTCCAGGGTATGACCAGAGGTATGTGAACTGACGCAGGGAAACGCAGGCTTCAGATAAGTTATAAACAATGTAATTTATTAAAGACTAACAATACAAACATAAACGCAGTGCAATACTAAAACATAACACAGTGCAAACGAACCAAACCAAACCACCCACAGATAACAGTACATACAATGCAAGCGTCGTCAGGCAGGCCGGGTCAATAACAATCGGGCAGGTAGGTACAGGGGATCAGGCAGAGAATGGTCGGGGTCACAAGCCAGGGATAAAACAGGAGAAGTCAGCAGAGGTCCGGATCAGGCAGGGTCAGCAACGAATCAGACAGAGACAGGGACAGGGATAGGGATGCAGGAACAAGATACAGGGCCCAGGAAAACCACACACCAAGGCAGAGACTGCAGGTCTGGCCATCCCTTAAATACACCTGCATAATCAACTTCAGGTGTTTGGCTGGCTGCAGGGTTGAGTCTCTGATTGCTGGGAGCACCCGCTGGCCAGCCCTGGTACTGCAGCCCACAAGGCAGGTGAGTCCCACCATTATTGGCAAGTCCATTCCTGACACCAGTGGCCCCTCTCTGCCAATCCATCCAGTAGCTTCCTATTGTCCAGCGAATTAAATTAAAAATACTAACAACATACAAATCCATCCACAACTCTGCAGTCTTCTCCAATCTCCAAATATCACTCAAACTGTACTCTCTGCTCCTCTCATGATCTCCTGCTCTCAAGCTCCCTTGTCTCCTCCCATGCTCCTCTCCAGAACTTTGCCAGAGCCTCTCCCATCCTCTGGAACTATCTACATCAATCTGTCTGGCTATTCCCTACTCTGGATACCTTTAGGCGATCCCTGAAAACTCATCTCTTTAGGGAAGCCTATCACACCGAATAGATATTTATCACTTCCATCAGTTCAACCCTCACAGTTATAACCTTTTGTACCACTTGCCCCACCCTATGGGGGGGGGGGGGGGGCGCCTAGATTGTAAACTTTTATGAGTAGGGCCCTCTTCATCCTTTTGTTTTGATTGCATTGTATCTGTATTGTCTCCCTTTATAATGTAAAGCACTGTGCGAAACTGTTGGTGCTATACAAATCCTGTATAAAAATAATAATCACAACCTGATAAAATATAGTTTTCTTTAGCAAGGAACATACATTCCGCAGCCATCCTGCTGAAGACCAGAGCCCCTGAGCAGCAGTAAATCTTTAAGCTGTCAGCAGATTGGCCTCTACAAATTGGGCACAGTGCCTAAAAATAAAGAGCAACTGAGCATGTACAGAGCAGGGTGAGACTGTGTATTACTGGATTTTAGACAATATAGGCACTTATTTTTAATATTTTACATCGCTGTACCTGGAAAAGGGGCCAGCCTGAAGTGATCGAGGAGGACTTCATTTTCTGACTAAAGTTCCACTTTTAACAAAAAACCTAGAAGCTTATTGGTTGCTATGCACAGCTCCACCACATTTCTGTGTGCAACAGTTTTAGAGAAGATTTTAGTGACGATTAGCATTTGTCATGTTATTGAACAAACTACTTAAAGTGAAACTTCACTCTCCCAGTCAACATGGACTATTTTTAATCCTTATGCTGCTAGCATTTGTAAATACAGTTGCAAGAAAAAGTATGTGAACCCCTTGGGATTACGTGGAGTTTTGCATGAATTGGGCATAAAATGTGCTCTGAACGTCATCTAAGTCACATCAATAGAAGAACACAGTCTGCTGAACATAATACTACACAAACATTAGATGTTGCCATGGTTTAATTGCACATAACATGTAAACATTCACAGTGCAGGGAGGAAAAAGTATGTGAACCTTTGGACTTAATAACTGGTTGACCCTCCTTTGGCAGCAATAACCTCAACCAAACGTTTCCTGTAGTTGCAGATCAGACCTGCACAACGATCTGGAGTAATTTTGGACCACTCCTCTTCACAAAACTGTTTCAGTGTAGCAATATTCCTGGGATGTCTGGTGTGAATCGCTCTCTTAAGGTCATGCCACAGCATTTCAATCGGGTTGAGGTCAGGACTCTGACTGAGCCACTCCAGAAGGCGTATTCTGTGCTGTTGCAGCCATTGTTTTGTTGAATTACTTGTATGCTTTGGGTCATTGTCCTGTTGCACCACCCATCCTCTGCAGAGCTTCAGTTGGCGGACAGATGGTCGTACGTTTTCCTGCAAAATGTCTTGATAAACTCTGGAATTCATTTTCCCATCAATGACAACAATCCGTCCAGACCCTGAGGCAGCAAAGCAGCCCCAAACCATGATGCTCCCTCTGCCATGTTTTACAGTGGGGATGAGGTTTTGATGTTGGTGTGCTGTGCCTTTTTTTCTCCACACATAGTGTTGTGTGTTCTTCCCAAACTCAATCTTGGTTTCATCTGTCCACAGTACATTTTGCCAGTAGTGCTGTGGAACATCCAGGTGCTCTTTTGCAAACTTCAAACGTGCAAATATTCTTTTTGGACAGCAATGGCTTCCTCCGTGGTGTCCTCCCATGTACTCCATTCTTGTTTAATGTTTTCCTTATTGTAGATGTGTCAACAAAAATGTTAGCATGTGCCAGAGATTTCTGTAGGTCTTTAGCTGACACTCTGGGATTCTTCTTTACCTCATGCAGCATTCTGCGCTGTGCTCTTGCAGTCATTTTTACAGGACGACCATGCCTAGGGAGAGTAGCAACAGTGCTAAACTTTCTCCATTTGTAGACAGTCTGTCTTACCATGGGCACATGAACATCAAGGCTTTTGGAGATACTTTTGTAACCCTTTCCAGCTTCATGCAAGTCAACAATTCTTGATCGTAGGTCTTCTGAGAGCTCTTTTCTGCGAGGCATGGTTCACATCAGACAGTGCTTCTTGAAACCAGTAAACCCAAAAGAGGTGTGTGTTTTTTAAGGGCAGGACAGCTGTCAGCAACACATCCAATATCATCATACTGATTGGAGTCAAGGTTGGCTCACTCCTGGCTCCAATGAGCTCTGGGAGAAGTCATTAAGCTAGGGCCTCACATACTTTTTCCTCCCTGCACTGTGAATGTTTACATGTTATGTGCAATTAAACCATGGCAACATCTAATGTTTGTGTAGTATTATGTTCAGCAGACTGTGTTCTTCTATTGTTGTGACTTAGATGACGTTCAGAGCACATGTTATGCCCAATTCATGCAAAACTCCACGTAATCCCAAGGGGTTCACATACTTTTTCTTGCAACTGTAGATAAGAAAGAATATCAGATTTACTTGTTTTAAACTTTTGTTTTACATTTTTCAGTTACTTCCTGGTTTCTTGCCTTAACAAATACTGTCATACATCCCAGGAGTCTTCAGAAGAAGAGGGAGGGTTCTCAGCTCAGCCAATGCCTGAGCTAGGGGCAGATGGATTCCAGGAAGTAAATTCTACATGAATAATCTACCCTTACTCAAGATGGCCACTGCCAGAAATGCAGGCGGGGGGGGGGGGGGGGTCAAAATTATTTTGCAGCAAAATAAAGCATGGAGATATGGATAGATGGCTGAGTTTGCTTTGAAGGTTACCAGTGAATTAAATAGCATTTTTGGTTTGTGGTACTCAGATGCAGTGCAGTTCCACTGTCCACAGTATATGTGAACCCTCACCTTGTAAAACAACCCATTCAGTTTAAAATAGAAATAAAAGGCAAACATTTGTGTATAGATATAAAGAAAAATATTAATTTATTATTATTACAGGTACTTATATAGCGCCATCAATTTATGCAGCGCTTTACATATTTATTACACATTCACATCAGCCCCTGCCCTCAAGGAGCGTACAGTCTACAGTAAGGTTCCTAAATCGCTTTCATACATACTCATACTCTTTTTGTCCTTTTTATATAAATGATCACATACCCTGTGTTTTCAGCTGCATAAGCTAGAGGTGGAAAAGCAGCAGCACACTGAACTTCCCAGTGAATGGCTGTGCGGGGGGGTGCAAGTCTGATCATTGGAGGAGAGCAGACTGAGTTACGAGCATAGATAGAGAACTGACCACACTGTGTTCTGCCTAGTGAGGTCAGTTTTTGATAGGAAAGCAGAGGGACTGGCAGGAACACCAGGGATTTCACACAAAAGAAGCAATACAAAGAGAACAGGATACATTTTCATGCATGGTACAGCAGGCACATATCAGGAATATGAAATGTTGGGTTCTTTAACAATATTAATTTCATACCTAATCATTACCAGAAGGTCAAGAGGCATCTTGCTATTTCCTAATTGATACGAGGACCTCCTGTTGATGTTGATATTGTATTCTTGAACTTAAAGTGATACTAAACCCAGAACCCTGCATTCACTATATCTGGTCTCCCACAGTACACAGAACATGGAAATGCAATTATGTTAGTAAATATAAACTGCTAAATACCTTTTCTCATCAGCAGTTAGATCACTCTGGTGACTTCAGCAGAGCACTGGTTAAAGCTTGTAGGAGGAGTTTTCTTTCTGCTCTAAGAGGATGTAAAACCTCTGACTCTCTGTCTGGACAGGGCTGATTGGCCCTGTGCTGATTACATGCACCCTCCCAAGAAACAAAAAAACAACCTCTCTAGCAATACACACCAAACTGAGCATGTGCATGTGACTATGGATTCAGTCTATATCAGGTGGTCATTTCAACAAGAGGAGGGGCAGAGAAGAAAGAATCAAACAGCCTTTTTACACAATTCAGAGGATTAACCCCTTAGGTTCCACAGTGAGTATAACAAGCATGCTTTACTGCATATACAGACTGATGTTACTGTTTAGTAACACTTTAAGATGTATATGAAATTATCTACAATGTTTATTCTGTATTTGTAAAACCTTATTCAAATATAATGAAAAAGAAAAAAAAAGGCGTTCTGTAAATGGTGGTGTGGTGACGAGCGAGTGACCCCCTGTGTTCTATGTGCAGAGGGGAAGTACAGGACCAGGATTATCACGGCTCTCTCTGTATGTAACGTGGATTATTACATTGATTTACAGCGTTCTTATAGATATCAGATATACATACTTAACTTACTGCACATGTAGCCAAGCTGGACCAGCATAAGTATGCAATAAATATCATTTCTGGAGTTCGTAAATAGATAAGAACATATATCAGATTTACTTGTTTTAAACTTTTGTTTTACATTTTTCAGTTACTTCCTGGTTTCCTGCCTTGACAAATACTGTCATACATCCCAGGAGTCTTCAGAAGA